CCCCTCCCTTACTTCCTCCCCCACGCACTTGCACAAACCTGGAGTCTCTGGCCTAAAGATCTTCCAAGAGGACCTGATAACTCAAAGTTCAGCTTTAAAATCAAATGAAACGGGTTGGAGCTCAGTGGTAGAGCATTCGCCTGGCAAGTGTGAGGCACTGGATTCAATCTTAGCACCACATAAAAACAAATAAAGGCATTGAGCCCGACCCCCCGCCCCCCAAAAAAAACCCTCAAAAATGTGATTAAAAAATCAATCAAATGAAACACAAGTGGAAAGCCTTATTCATCTGGACTTACCCAAAGGATCCAGGCTGAGAAGGAAGAACTCCGACAACGGATGGACGTCATTTTGAATGGCCAGCAAAAGCTAAAAAGCTCTTATATACTCTGTATTCTGACACCCAAATTTTGGGAGAAAAGCTGTGGTAATTTATAATGCATACACTTTAGTGCCTTTTGGGACTAAAACTGAGGTTAATTAAAAGTGCTAGTAAACATAGCTGCATTTTCCATCAGCATTGGTAAACAGTGTCTGTGTTTAAAAGCATTAATTTATGGCTTCATAGCAACTCAGAAACAAGAAAATTTGGATTTAAGTTTACTTGCATCCTGCAACAGTTTCCAGAGAAAGATTTTTTTCCTAGCTAATTTTGATTGAAAATCAAGATTTGCATCACAATAGATATTTCAAAAGTGTAAATACAAAAGGCTGTAACTTAAGAGACCTCTTGGTCCCATGCAGATGCGTTGGTTTCTAGCCCATCATCAAGCTCTGGGAAGGGGTGCTGCCAGATTCAGGCCAGAGAGGGCTCTGTTTGCTGCTTATTGCAAAAATTCACAGGGCAGGCTCCTTCTGGCAATGCATATGTGACTATTTGTTAGCAACGCTTCTGCTTTGGAGGAAACTGTTACATCATTTAATTCACAGATATTTTCGGAGGGCAGAAGGGAGCATATTAGTTATCCAACTCATTTGCATCAAAAAATAAAACTTTCAGAGATGAACAAAATCTGACAAAAGCTAAATTGCTTTGTTGCGTATTCTACGTATTTTGCAGAAACGAGGTCCAAAACTTTGACCAATTTCTTTATTTGAGTAAAAGGTTTACATGTTATGAAGTGCCCACCCCCAGACCAAGGAGCAGTAGTGTCAATATTTTTTCCCTTTTTTGATTGAAACGAACTTGTTTTAATTTTTGTCCATCATGTGATTAATATTTTAATGATTCAGCTGTCATTTTATATTATTTTTGTAAAAAAAAATGTTAAGTTTAAAAGTTTCTTTCTTTTTTTTTTTTTTTCCTTTTGGGCTGGGGGTTGAACCTAGGGCCTCTCAAATGCTAAGCATATGATCTACCTCGCCCAGTCTGAAATGGCCCCTAAGAGTTTCTTTTCTATAACTCAACATGCAAGATTATTCTCATTTCCCCCTGCTTCCACAATCTTCTTACCAAATGTAACAACTGTTATTACAGATCAAATTGAGACCTGTGAAATGTCACTGTATTCACTAAGACCATTTAAGGCTCCCCATTCTAGCTTTCTGAGCCTATTCCAAGATTTGGACATCGGAAAGACTAAAACACATGGCATCAATTAACACACTGTTCAACTTGCCTGCCGGGTTTTTGTTTTGTTTTTCCTTTAACAAGATGATATCTTTTGATAACCCCTTAGGATAAACAATACTGTCCTGGGTCCTCTATTCTTACTTTATGGAAAAATGTGATAAATCAGAGCCACTGCCCTCCTTGGTGCTCTGTAATCCCTGGAGAACTCAGGAGTGTTGGTGAATCACTGCCCAGGGTGGCCACCATTCCAGGACCAGTTGGACCAAACCCAGTGGAGACTGCCTGCCCTCCCTGGACTCTGGCTTAGTCACTTGCTGTCAGAGAGTTCCTGGTGTCTTTTACTTCTTGGATCCCTTGCAAGGGGCACAGGAGGCACAAAATCCTTCCCTTAGCCTGGATAATCTTGTATAATTTTTCTCAGTGTTCTTTTTTTTTCTTTTTCTTTTTTTTTTCCACAATGGGGGTTGTGTTTCCATTTGAAGCAGTTTACATCTTCATAAAAATCTCTCTCCCTCTTTTTCCTCTCTTTTTTCCTAACCCAGAAAATTTAATTGCATCCCAGAACGTCAGTAAACAGACTGGTGTCGCAATAAACAATCTGGAAAAGAAAAAAAGAAAAAAGAAAAAAAGTGGTGTTGGCAGAAAACTTTGATCATAATTTGCCTGACGGAACAAAACAGACATGGCCTCTGCTTTGTCCTTGTGTGGATTGGGGTTATCACCAGTGTCGCGCTTCTGAAGTGCCTTTCTGTGCTAAATACAGGGCTGGACCGTGGAAAATCAAAAAACAAACTGGTATTTGGAAAGCAATCACTTTCCCCAGAGAAGAGAGGAGAGTACCGAGCGCCTATTATTTCAGACTTACTTCTGCTTCTCCAAGGCTTCCAAGGTAACAGATGAAGAGAGGTCACCCACCTTTAGTCTCGCAGCAGCAAGAAAGCAACAGAAGCCTTCTCGCCAGGAATCAGAAAGGGAAACCTGTTTGCTTTTAGAGTTTCTCGTCCTCCCAGAGAGATGAAAGGGGAATGAAAGGGAGTCACCCCTGTGGAATCGCCAAAGTGAAAACGGGCCACTTTATCCGGGCTCTTCAGAGCTCTTTAAGGCTGGAAGGGTCTGGATTGAAATCCGTATAATACGTTCATTCACTAAGTCAAGATTAATAGCGTGGGTGTTGTGTCCTGGGGGAGCGCCTCCAGAAGGCAGTTGGAAATAAACTTTGTCTTGCTTTGAAACACTTGGTCTGTAGCACGTATCAGGATTTTTTAAAAAAATTTTATTCCCTAATAAAAATTCTGTTAGCATCAGATTTAAATTCCCTAAATCTTTTCCTCCCTATAGACGCGGTTCCCTGGATCTCCTCTTTTCCATTTCGACTGGGCAGGGTCTTGCTGTTTCTCCCCTCCCCAGCTTGTCGCTGCCGGTGGGTGGCATTTTCATCCCTTCTTAGCCACCCTGTATTTAATGTCACCTTATTCTTCCATGCTGCCCCGTGGGTTCCCTAACAATACTTGAAATCTCCGTATTTAGGACCAGAAATAATCTAAGCTTACTTTTCTTCTCAAACATATTTCAAAATAAATTTGGAAGGAAATCACTTTGAATTACAGTGCATTTGATACAAAGCTGTGAACACCAACGTGGTGATTTTATTTGTTTTCTGCTTTGCCCTAGAGAACGGAATAAAATAAAACATTAAATAGGACCCAAACCACGATTGCAAGAGTGTGGCTCTCTGCAGGTAGTGAGGCAAAGAAGTTTTCACTGGAAAGTTTAGTTCTCAGACCTACACGCTGCAAGGCTGTGGCACCCACTGCATTTCCCAGGGACTCCTTCTAGGGGTACCTCCCCGCAAAATGCTCAGAAATTGTGTTTTCCTTTCTCTCTGTCTCTGCATTCAAACCTGCTCATGTTTGGTGGTTACTTTTTGCATGTTGGGAAGATTTTGCTTTTGAAAGACCCCCATTTGAAAACATGAGTTCATCTTGAACCACCAGGGCCATCATACTGGTCTCGGTTTGGTAGTGCACTGGGTGACAAATTCTGGAGACCGGGAAGCAACTTGATACTCTACAAAGCCCACTGCAAATTCTGTCTCTGGCATTGCGTTTTCTACCTGGTTGGGTGATTACCATATTGATTCTAAAAATGGGCAGCTTCCTGGCTTGCAAGTGGCTCCCTTTAAGAAGTGGAGAGACCCAGACATAGGGAAGCAGGTATTGCATCTTAGTGCAAAGAACAGAAAGAGATAAGACCCTCAGACAAATGTTGCATGGTGTGTGTGCTTATTGTGAGCTGGTTTAGTGTTTCTGTCAGCTGTTTTAACCAGTCTGATTAATCCTGCTGGTCACCAGGGGTAAGCCAGGGCTTCATCTGACCTAGGAACAAAACTTTTCCTCTCTTGGACAGAAGGTGGTCTGTCCAGGTCAGGGTATGGGTCACTGGAAGGGCAGCCTCAGGAAGCCTGCATGTTCATAGCAACCACTTGTTACAATTAGTTAAAAAAAAAAAAAAAAAAAGCCAACATGCGTTGAATTGACACTTTTGTGGGTCCCTTAGTTTGGACAGTGCAATTGTTCTGGAAAACAATGTCCACATCTTCCTTTGAAAGTGGAAAGGGTACAACCGTATTTCAAGCAGCAAAATGCCCACACTCTGAGCCCATTGGGGATTTTGTTTCCTTCAGTGTCTGGAACTCCGTTCTCTGTCCGTGTACTAAATCCAAGTATGTTCAGCCAAAATGCAGACAGAAGGAAGGTTCGGCTGAACGAGACAGCGTCTGGGTGCACTGTCCTAGCTGGCTGCCAACTACACTAACAAATCATTCACAGAATTGAAACCCGAGGCCAATCCTGTGTGACTGACGGCCCTCATGTGGAATCTCACAGGTTGATCTCAGAGGGTAGGTGGTTAACAGGGAGGGGGATGGGGAGATTGCAGCCAGAGGGTACAGGAACATGGTCAGATAGGAAAAATAAGCTCAAGAGACCTATTGCACAGCATGGAGACTATAGTTAATGATGACAAAATGTATTCTTGAAATGTGCAGGAAAGAAATACCCACACACACGTACACACTATGTGATGTAATGCATTTACTAATTAGCTAGGTTTAACCATCCCACAATGTCTGCTTGCTTCAACACATCATGCTGTATACAATAAACATGGAATTTTATCTATTATAAGTAAACAAATTTTTAAAAAGATATAAAAAGAAAGGAAAATTAATTGGAAGCAGGTCCCTTGACTCTTGGGACAGAATGCCCTCAGGTTCTGGCAAAGGTCTATATCCACTGCCACCCCCTCAGTTCCAGTCTTGCTTACTGTGCAATGGAGACTCCGATTTATAGCTGGGCACAGGCCCACCTGGAATACCATTGCTGCATTTCCCAGGCTTGCTCACAGTCAAGTGTGGTCTTGAGACTGGGTACTAGGCAGAGGCTAAAGGCAAAAGTGTAGTATCACTTCCAGAAAGTGTCTTTTAAGGGAAGGGTCATTCCTTTCTTTGCTCTTCTTCCTTCCTATTGACTGGAATGCAGAAGTAATGGCTGGAAACCTGGCATGATAAGCAGTTGTGTTAAAGAAGCAACATACCTCCTCCACCTTCCCATGATCCGAAAGAGCAGGGCCATCCTGCCAGGCCTGGGCACTTGAGAAACAAACTCAGGTCGACCTTTGTTCAAGCCACTTTTTTTGGTGAGTCCAGATATATAAACCTAATTTTAACAAAGCAAGTGCTAAGGGGATTCTTTTTAGTCCTCTCAAGTCCAGGGGAAAAACATCATGCTGTATACAATAAACATGGAATTTTATCTATTATAAGTAAATGTCCATTTCAGTTTGAGTCCATGGACTCCGTTGAAAAGGTAAAGAGAAAGGAGAGGCCTAGGGAGTGAAGTCCTAGGTGACAATCTGGCCTGGCAATGCCCCAGAAGAGGGTGGCAACAAGGACCAGAAGGCTACTTCACAGGAAGCCAAACCACCCAGCAGCGCTGTCCCTCAGGCAGACGGCCGTTTGAGGTAAAGCCATTTGAACAGGTCTGGGCACGGTCACTGTGCAGACCAGGAAACCGATTTGCTTTTCATTTTCAGCGTCTTTGTATGGCTTTGTGTAGATTCTTCCCCTGCTAAACAGGCCCCAGAGACCCAGGAAGAGGGAGACTTCAGATGCATTTTGAAATAATAACAAAGACTGGAAGTCTCCAAAACGAAACACCACTGGGTGAATTAGGTGAGCTGGACTGATTTTCTTTTGCCAGATGGTAATGATGTCAATTTAAGTTTTAGTGTTTTCTAATACAATTAAAGCAAATCCTGGACTAGTGTAAAGAAGATGTGTAAAATACTGACTGAGAGCTCTGGGTCTGTAAGCACCCAGTGGTTAATGTCTAGTTCAGCAGAGGTAGTCAGGAGCACCAAGCTCACCATGTTAGCTCATCCAGACAGCTGCACAGCGCGGGACAGTGCCCACAAGCAAAAAAGGAAATAGGACCACCACCATACCATGTGCAAAATTTAATTCAAACCATATTAGAAAGCTAAATAGGAGAGCTACAACTATAAAACTTGTAGAAGTAAAAAAAAAAAAAAACCCACATAGGCATGACTCTTTATGGCCTTGAATAAGGCAATAATCTCTTAGACATGAGAGCCAAAGTACAACCAACTGAAGGAAAAAGTAGATAAATTGAACTACACCAAATCCGAAGTTTTGGTATTTACAATGATGTCATTAAGAAAGCGAAAACACAATTCACAGAAGAGGAGAAAATGTTTGCAGGGTATATCAGTTAAAAAATGGGTTTACAGCACATATAAAAAAACTCTTAGAGCTCACTAATAAAAAGAAAAAATAACCCAATTAAAAATGGACAAAGGATTCGAATAGACATTTCTCTAAAGAATATTGATAAAGGGTCAATAAGCACATGAAAAGATGTCCAACATTCTTCGCCACTGGAGAAAGCCAGCCAAGACTACAAAGAGATAACCCCTCATCCCCACTAGGATGGACTAAAGTGAGGAAGATATACAATTACAAGTGCTGGCAACAATTTGGAAAAATGAGGACACTTCTACACTGTTGATGGGATGGTAAAATGGTGTACCTACTTTGGAAAAAGCTTACAAATAAAGATTCCATATAACCCAGTAATTCCATTCATATATATATATATATAGAATAAAAACAGGTGTCCAAACAAAAACTGATATGAATGTTCATAGCAGCATTATTCATAAAAATAGATAGAAAGAACCCGAGGGTCCACCAGTTGATTAGTGGATAAATAAAAGTGGTTCAGTGGTATGCTCTCATCCATAAAATGTATGTTCCAAGACCCCTGGTGGTTGCCTAAAACCTCAGATAGTACCAACCTTCTACCTCTTTTTAATGCATGTTTATGATAAAACAATTCATAAAGTCAACATGAGACAGACAATAAGTAATAATAAAATAGAACAATTTTAATATTCTTTCATAAAAGTTATGTGAATGTGGTGTATCTCTCTCAAAATATCCTTTTGAATCATACTCACCCTTCTTGTGATTTGAGACACAATGCCTACATGCTGTGATCAAGTGAGGTAATGGTGCAGGCATTCTGACACAGAATTTGGCTGTCACCTAAGGCCTACTTGAAGCACTATGATTCTTTGACTACTATCATTCTAATAACCAAGATGGCTTTTAAATGACTAAGGGGTGGGTAGTATATATAGCGTGGATACAATGGGAAAAGGAATGATTAACGGAATCCTAGAGTGGGACAGTGCAAGATTTCATCCCACTACTCAAAGCGGCACACAATTTAAAACTTATGAATTGTTTATTTCTGGATATTTCCATTTAGTATTTTCAGATTTCAGTTAACCTTGTGTAATTGGAACCCATGCAAAGCAGTGTTGCTGATAAAGGGCAACCGTCATCAATAGTTGGAACATTTTTTGGCAATAAAAAGGGATTAGTGCTGGTACATGCTGTACATGGATAAACCTCGAAAGCATGATAAGTGTAAGACAACAGTTGCAAAAGGCCAAACTTTGTATGATTCAGTTTACTTGAGATGTCCAGATACTTCTAGAAAATCTATAGAAAGAGAAAATAGACGAGTGGTTGCTGGGCACTGGCAGGAAAAGGGAATGAAGAGCAACTGCTAATGAGTGAGAGACTTCTTTTTGAGGTGATGAAAATATTATGAACATAAATTGTGATGATTATTGCACAACTCTGTCAATATACTGAAACCACTGAATTGTATACTTTAAACAAGTGAAATTTATGGCATGTAAATTATGTCTAAATAATGATGTGTTTTTTTTTAAAGGAAATAGAATTGACCCAGTAGTCAAAAAAAAAAAAAAAAAAAGATGGGTACACACAAAACTGGGGCCACAACAGAGCCCTCCAGCCCTGATCTGGGTTTTTCTGTGAGGCTCTCCTGGGCTCTTGCTGCTGACTGCTTCGTCGGCAGAGTCATGTCCCAGACCGCCTGCCTCCGTCTGCAGTGATGCTGAGCCTTTCTGCCTCAGCTGGGCTCCCCTGGGCTCTGCCCCTTCCCATCCAGACCTACACACACCATCAGCCCCGTTCTGATCCCACGATTCCCTGGGCAACCCCCATGTCCCTGCATATGTCACTCTGCATCCACATGGTCATAGTGACGGTGATCATTACAGTCAATGGAGGGGGAAGATTGGCATCTAACTGCAGGGAGGACCCTCGGCCACAGACCACGTTGCCTCTGCGGCTGCTTGTTGACAGTAGGTCGGTGGTGGCCGTGACCCTGACCCTCCATCTGCTTGTCTTTGGGAGCAGAGTCACACTCAGGTGGAAAGACTGGACTTTCTAGCCCTTTCTTCTTCATCAGATTGCTTTTTATCATTTTTCCCTCTCTTTTATTTGAAGTTTGTTTTACTTCTAGAAATAGCCAACACCTGCGGCCTCCCTTGGGCTGCAAGAGCACCTCTCAGCTCAAAGACTAAAGCAGGGAGGGCCTGTCAATTTGTATTCCCCCAAGGAGGTTCTCGTCCTCTAACCAATGGGAAAGGTCCAGCTTCCCTAACTCTATATGACACACTCCAGTCCCCTGCAGGATCCGTGGAAAGTCCCTCTGAGTGATTGCCTAAGAGCACACCTTCCCTTGGTTCCCACCCTTCTCTCACTTCTTCACTCCCTTACCCATTTCTCCTGGGAGCTTATCTTCCACTTGCACATGAACTTTTGTCCCTGGGTCTCCTGGGAAATCCAAGCTAGGAGAAGATATCACAGCCCAGAGCACATAGTATGTGTTCATTAAATGGGCCCCACTATTGGCTTTGTTCTAATGAGCATGGCTTAGGAAGCATGCCCTTCCTTCCTCCTACATGCTCTCAGCTTTAGCACCAATATGGGAAAGAGGTGGGAGAAGAAGGAAAGTAGAGATCAGGAGTCCCCATGGGGCCCACCCCTGTTTGCCGCTCTTTATTTGGGCTCTCATCATTAAAAAAAAATTTTTAAGAATTGATGCTCTTGAAGGTACTGCCTGATAGTTTAACATCTTAAAAAAGATTTGAGATGGAAAATTGGGGGATTTAGGCATCTAAGCAGCTAGCTTCTAATGCTTTCTCAGCCCTAACCTTTAACAATAAAAATCAAATATTTGATGAGAGTTTAATGTGCACGTATAAAAAAATCTCCTGTGATAACACACCAGACACTGTATGCTCCTATGGCAAAGTCTTTTCTAAGTGCCTTAAATGTATCAATTAATTGAATCTTCTCAACATCCCTGTGAGCAAGTGCTGTCACTTTCATCACGCCCATTTTTAGTTCTACGGCAGTCCTGCAGGAGTGCTGGGGGGTCACAGAGAGGCACGCAGGAGAGATGCCCGGGGCTTCCTTCTCCCTGCCCTCTCCCATTTCAGCCAGAGACACTCTGCCTCTATGGTTTTCACAACTTGAATAAGTTCGTCACTCAAACAATAGTTGGAAATCGTTTTTCCAGGAGAGGCTGGTGGTCTATGCTCTCCATGTTCCCAACTGCTCAGCCTGCAGTGGTGTGCTGATTAGTAGGTGACATTCATACCCCCAGCCCCCAGCACCCTTCAGACCCTAACCCCACTCGCCAGTGGTGCAGTTCTCCTGAACAGAAGTGAAATCAGCTCACCATCCTCCAGGGGCGGCAGCTGTCTTGTTTTTAGGCCATGAAGTGGCCTGCCATTGGGTCCTTGGCCGGCACACCTGCACAATAGCCTTGCTCCCAGGGGAAAGAGGGTCCACTTGGTCTGGTCAGTTTTAGAGCTGGCTTGACAACTGAGACCTCCAGTGAGAGGTGCTTGGGACCTACTTAACCACATATTCTTGGAGTCCAGAGGGTCTCCGAGTGCTGTCCCCAGCCAGCAGCAGCCGCCTCACCTGAAAACTTGTCAGAACAGCAACTTCTTGGGCCCCACCCAGACCTACTGAATCAGGCCCTGTGGAGGCACTGCAGCCTCTTTGAACTAGCCCCCCAGGTCCCTCTGAGGCTCACTGGAGTCGGAGAACCTCTGCTGAAGACCGACCGCTGCAATTGTCTGTTGGGCCCTCTCTGTATTCCACTGAGTCAGGAATCAGGGCTTAACCAAGCAGCTGGAAGGGCTCCTGCAGAGCCCATGGGGGACCCAGTGGTACCCTAGATTTAATGTACTTGCTCAGACCTTACGATGGTGTATGAAAACCAGAAAGAACCATGCTTCTCCCTCCTGAAAAATATTCTCAGTGCCTTCTGATATTGAGATCTTTCAAGAAAGAAAACATCAGACAGGACTCCTCTTAGTTCTGGGGAGAAAAAGTCAAGGATCTTGGGAATATTGAAAAACCATGTTCTGGTGTCCAAAACCACCCAGAGTACAGGATCAGGGTTAGAGGCCCTTGGGGCTGTCCCATTTTCCAGGGAGGAATTGAGAGTTCTAGTCATGTGCTACATAGGAAAGCTTTGTTTTTCCCTTTTAAAATAAGTCACTTGTTTTCACTGGTAGTTAGAGATGATACTGGAATATTCTGTTAAGCTTTTTGGGTACTGTGAACTCCAGAAACGCTAAGTAGGGGATAATTATTGGGGACGGCTGCTCTACAGTGTCCTTCCCAGAACACTGATGTGCCTTGTGCTTTGTTAAGCCCCGAGAGTCCCAGTTTCTGTGAGGGGCTTGGTTCTAATAACACTCTGTGCTTTTAATTCCCTGTAGCTGCTTTTCCATACACACAGTCAGACCTGAGTGATGCTGGTCTGGGGTATCATTTTTCTTCTTCAGTGTCTACTTGCGAACTCCTTTGACTTTTTCCTTGTGATGTGCACTCTTCCCAGAAGCACGCAGTAACAATCCCACCTTCCCCCCCCTCTGCATGCCATTTCTGTGAAAACATACTAATATGTGTGCGCGAGATGGAGACAAATCATTCCAGGAAGGCATCGGACTCCAAGCTTTGAATCACATTATTTTTATATGCCAACAAAGAACAAATGCATTTCTCAATTATGAAACCCATCTGTGAGGTGCCTTTCAAAGCATGCAGTTGTGCAGCCAGACACTGGATCGGATTCTTAAATCATCTTGAAACAGTAGTTGCCCCCCGCTCTGCTGCAAGTTTGCTTGTGCAATACGATAGCATTGTATGCTTGGCTTTTTAAGTTAAACACGTTTTCCATTTATTCCAACTGGGAGCACCAAATGATTCCAAAACACTGAGGGTGGCAGGAAGCAGTGGTAACAGCCCTTTGGAAAGCATCATCACCAATCAGCTTGAACCTTCCAGTCCCCAAAGCTGGAATCGGTTTTCTCTGGCTGAACAACCATCCCTTCCTCCTGGGAGGTGTTTGCTGGATGCACCGCGAGGTAGACTTGTCCTCAGGATCCCGTAGCTGTAATGTCAAGAAGCCAGAGATATGTTAGAAGTCATTTAATGAGGGTTGAATTGCATTCCCTTCAAAATAGAAAAGTCCTAAGTCCCAGTACCTGTGTATGTGACTTATTTGGGAAAAGGGTCTTTGGGAATATAGTGTTGAGATGAAGTCGTCCCGGTGGACACTAATCCAATATGACTGGTGTCCTTATAAAAAGGGGAGATTTAAACACAGAGATGTGCACACAGGGAGAACGCCCTGTGAAGATGCAGGCAGAGATTGGGGGTGATGCATCTGCAAGCCAAGAAGCGCCATTTTGCCAGCAACCACCAGAAGCCAGGAGGGAGGCTTGGAGCAGATGGAACCAACCCTGCCAATATCTGTCTCAGATTTCCAGCCTCCAGAACAGTGAGACAATGATTTTCTGTTGTTTAAGCCAGCCGGTTTGTGGTGCCTTGTTGCCACAGCCCTAGGAAATGAAAATGTGCTTCGATCACCTACATCTGAAGATGAGCCTCTGACTGACATCTAATTAGGCCGTTACAATAAAACTGAGCCTTTTGGAAACTGCCTCGTAGTCCAACCATCTTCCCATAACCACACCATTAACCTCACTGCCCAAGGCAACCATCCTAGGCCTTGCCTGGAGAGACCACAGCAGCCTCACTCCTTCAGCATCTCCCTCTCCAGCCCCAACCCGGCTGAGAAATGAAAGCATCCAAGATTCAGCCAGCCAGTCTCCCTGTGGCAAAGCTTTATTTAGCTACAGTGTTGGGGAGCTTTGCTGAGCCACTGCGAGCAGAAGAATGGGAGGAACCAGTGTTGGTTAATGAGGGGGCTGAGATGCAAGGGTAATTGGCTGAGTATCTTCTTCCCTGTGGTCCAGAGACACATGCAGGAATACCTAGGTGGCCACAGGGTCGCCTCTTCCTTTCTTGAGCGCCCTCTGGTGTCTTCAAGGCATGACAGCAGTAGCTCCCTTTCCACAGTTGGAAAGCCCCCCGAGAGAACTTGCAGTTTCTTAATTTAGAAAGCTGGAGCAATTCTTTAAAGTAACTCTTTTGCTGAGTTTTGTGTCTTCCAGATTTCCAGGCACAACAGAGGTAACAACAATTCTGGGCCCAAATTTTAGTTTTGGGGTTTTTTTTCTCTTCTCAGTTCCTAGCACTCTCTCTGACCTCAAATTTCACTGCGGTCTTTGGAGTCTGTTTGGAGTTCAAGGATGTCTGTACAACCTCACTGTCAACCGGTTCTGAAAAAAGGGAAGAGGATCTGATCCTACTCCTCTGGGCACATCCAGGAGCCAGAGTCTCTAGAGCAGCGTCTCTGACGTGGCACTGTGGACATTTGGGGCTGACCATCTTTGCTAGGGGGGCTGTGCTGCATTACAGCTGGGAGCACACTCTCTCAACTTTTGACAACTAACGATGTTTCCAGATATTGACAAGCAGACCCTAGTGTACCCTGGGATGGGGGTGGGGTGGGGGTGAGATCACCCCATCTGTTAATGTAACACTCCTTATATTAAAAAATAATGATAAAGTAAAGCACCATTGGCTGCCTGCATGAAAAAAAAAAAAAGCAACCATTCATACCATTCTCTTTGATTTTTGGATGGCATATGTCATCTATTTGTTTATTTTCAGTTAACCCAAAATTATGAAACCACTGGTCCAATTAGCAGAGAACATTATTCCAATCTATGGTTGGAATAGAAACCTGAAGACATAAGTCAAACACATATGCATATATTTACCGCTACACTTTGGATTGTGAATGAATAATTTATAAGAAAGATTTGCAGAACCTTTACTATATTCTAGAATATTCTTTCACATATTTTCTAAGTTCTCAAAATAGCTAGGTATTATAATCCTTGTTCTTTCCCCCTCCATATTTCAATTTTTTTTTTTTTTTGGTACTGGGGATTGAACTCAGGGATATTCAACTATTGAGCCACATCCCCAGCCCGATTTCATATTTTATTTAGAGACAGGGTCTCACTGAATTGCCCAGTGCCTTGCAGTTGCTAAGGCTGGCTTTGAACTCGAGATTCTCCTGTCTCAGCCTCCTAAGCCTCTGGGATCACAGGGGTTGCACCACCATGCCCAGCCATACTTTAATTTTAAAGGGAGTAAAAGATGTGATCAGAGTCACATGAGGGGAGAGACTAACTCGTGAAAGAGTCTGCTTCCATGATTTAAAGCTGTACTTGTGACCCTTCATCTGCTGCCCCCGAGTTTGGTTCCCTAATGAATAAACACAATTCCCTTGAAGAGCCTTAGCTTCCACACGTGCTCCACTTCCTCAAGATATCATGTTATTGTTTTTATCTACGTAGACTTTGAAATGTTTCTCTTAAGCAGTTATAATGCATTATTGGTGTGAACATCCAGATTAGAAGTTAAAATAATTTTATTTCCCAGAATGATAAACACCATTTCAGTGTAATAACGGTAGTAATTGGTAGTAATCACAGGAGCAGCAGAAAATAGAAGAATGGATATTGATAGTCAGGAAAGTCTTCGTCACTTCATTGAACGTCCTTGGAATGGAAATATGTCCTTTAATCATGACGACAATGTGTTAGTTTTCCAGAGCTGCCATAATAAAGTACTGTAAGTTAGTAGATTTAAAGCAACACAAATGTATTGACTCACAGCTCTGGAAGCAAGGGGTCTGGAATCAAGGTCAGCAGAGGCATGATCTCCTTGGAGTCTCTGTAGAAGGATCCTTTCTTGCCTCTCACATCTTGATGACCTCAGGCATTCCTTGGCTTGTGACCTCATCACTCAATCTCTGCTCCATCTTCATGTGGCCACCAGTCACACTGGAATAGGGGGGCACATCCTACATCGGTACGACCTCATCTTAACTAATTACATTCACAATGAACACTTCCAAATAAGGTCATATTTTTTTCTGAGGTCCTGGGGATTAAGACTTCAACACTTCTGTGGTGGGGGAGCAGAATTTAATCCCCACTGGAAGTATTAGAGTCCACTCTTCAATCTACTAGAGGCTGATGGGGTGTATGCAGTACTTGGTATTGTTTCAGGGCAATTTCTGTAAATTGGGACACATGTGAGACATTCAAGAAGCAAACAAGTAGAAATGAACAGAAAAAGCTCTTTGCTCCAGGTTCCCCTGGAGTGAGGTGAAACAGGGTTAGCTGGTGAGAAAGCTGGCATTGATGTTACCAGAAAATGCACAAAAGATATTTCCTTGTGCCCTCATGCCTGGGAAATTTGGTCTGCTTGGGGCTAGGCTCCTTTTTAGGGATTTTTTTTTTTGGTAACCAGATGCAAGGTAGATACTCTGTGTGTCCTCTGCAATGTTTGGTTGCTTCTGTCAAAGACCCAAAGTGACAGCTGGTCTCCTAAATTCTAAGACTTCTGAAGGAAGGCACACAGAACTCAGCCACAAATGGTTATTCAAATGGAGGAGGTACATCACAGCTGGGCAAGGACCCTTCTCCACACAGCACAGCCTCTGGTCTTCATATGCAGCCTTCCCCACCATTAGCCCTTTAATGTTTATCTTGCTGAATGGCCAACACTCTCACCTACCTTGTCATCTCCATCTAATTGTAGCCAGCCTCCAAGATGGCCCTAGTAATCTCTCACTTCCTGGTATTCACTCACTGTTATTCATCTTCCTATTGCCATGACAAAATATGGGAGGAAAACAAAGAAGGAAAGATGTGGTTTTTTGCTCATGGTTTCAGAGGTTTTCTTCCATGATGACCTCGTTCTGTTGTTTTTGAGCCTGTGGTAAGGCAGCATGTGATGGCAAAAGAGTGTGGTGGAGCGGAGCTTCTTACCTCATGACAGCCAAGAGGTGGAAAGAGAGAGAGAAAGGAAGGGGTCAGGGACAAAATGTACCCCTTCGAGGACTCATCCCCAGAGATCTGCTTTCTCCAACTAGACTCTGCCTCCTAAGGTTTCCATCACCTCCCAATAGCCCATTAAGCTACGAATTCATCGATGGACTCATCCATTGCTGAGGTTAGAACCTTAGAATCCAGTCATCTCCGGAAGCCCCACCTGGGAACACAACTGCATCAAGACTTTGACATATGAGCTGTGGGGGGACATTCCATATCCAAACCATAACATCTGTCATGGCTGTAACTGGCAACTGACGGGACCCTTTCCCATCTAAAAGGACCTTGAGAGACCAGAATCCTCTTAACCACAGGTTTATTTTGTCAATGCCCCAACCACAAGTCAGTGTTCTGAATTCTAGGTGTATAATGGGCCAATCTGAGATCTGGATTACAGAAGCTGGGGGCTGTGGCCTACCAGCTAACGATGGTGTTTATGAGGCTCGCAGCCAGAGAAACCTCTCCCTCCACTGAGGCTCTTCACGTGAAAACTGCATTAGACTGCAGCTGGAGACCCTCCCTCAAAGACTTGCTTGCTGCTTGGAAGGTGGGAAGCGTGGGTCATGGTACTGGCGTTGGGTTGGTGGATCTATGAAAGGGGTGCCCCCCAAGCTGGCAGGAAGCTCTAAGTAAAGGCCAGGTGGAGTTGACTTGAGGTCCTTCCACGTGCTGCCAGCCACGTGGAGGACAGAAATACTAGGAAGCTGGGCTGTGGACTTGTCTTTTAAATAAATGGTCTTTTATATGTGAAAATCATCTTCCCTCAGGAGGCCATTTCCTGTCAGTGCTAGGGCTCCTGATTGGTTCCTAAACGGAACTATGTATTAGAATCACCCAAAGAATCTGTCAAAACTACAGATGTCAGAAGCCTATCCCAAGTTGCTCCTAGCTAGGCCCAGAAAGGTAGCTCTTGTTTCTCTAAGCGACTCCCATGACTGAAATTTGCACAGAGGTTTAGGAAGCACTGATTCGTGAATTTCTTTGAGAAATCCATTTCGAGGCCCGAAGACCAACATGGAAGCAGTGGAAGTCCCTAGCCTGGATGGACAGACTTTCCAACAGTCGGGATGGGTCCATACCCCTCCACATTATTAACAACATCTTAAAATGGAGTGTTGGCTCTTACCTAAATGGTGTTAAGATTCTGTTTCCCTGGCTACCTTCCTGCGAAGTTAAGGAAGGGGTTAAACATAAGGGCTTGGAAATCAGACAAATCCAACCTGGGCCCCTAGAGGCCCCTTGAGAGCTATGTGCCATTGGGAAGGTTACCTAAGCTAGCTGGGTCCTGGTTCACTCCTTACCGCATAGACCAGGTGGCGGAAACAACAGATCTTATCTCCCCACAGTTCTGGAGGTTGAAAATCCAAAACTAAAGCACCAGCAGGGTGGTTTTCCCCTGAGCTCTCTCTCCTTCTCCCTGTGTCCTCTGTGGCCTTCCCCCTCCCTATACAGGTCTGACCCAGTCTCCTCTCCTTATAGGAACACTCTTGTCACACTGGATCAGGGTTTACCCGTATGACTTCATCTTACCCTAATCACCTCTTTAAAGACTGCATCTCCAAGAACGCTTCCATTCTGAGGGCCTGAGGATAAAGGTTTCAACCTATGGGTTTGGGGGAAGATTTCATCCCTCCCATGATGGAGGTGATATCGTCATGGTGAGGACTGGATGAAATGAAGCCCCTAAAGTCTAGGGTGCTGAACACTACCAGAGGATGGGAGATCCTGAACCTGTTCCCACCGATTTTGGTGGCACTGTGGGGGAAAAAAAAAAGAAAAAAAATTGCCTTTCAGAAGTGGGTGGCACACAGGAACACTGGCTTTTCTTCTGGGAGATAATCCCCTAAAAACATCTGGTCTGCCCCCCGCCCCGCCCCCACCCCAGCCTGTGCGATGGAGCTGCCAGGAGGAGGTGGCGCTGGGATTTGGGGCTTTCTGGGCAGCTGCAGCCTAGAGGCCACTTTCCTGAGGAGGCCTGTGGAATCTGAGCTTAGCACTTAAAACGGGGTTTCTTTTCAAAGGAGCTGAAGGCTCAAGCACTTCGTAGCACCTAATCCTTTTTCAGAAGAAGGGGAAAGGCATTTTAATGCCGCCTCGAAATCCTCACTTGGGTGGACAAAGGGCTCTGGTGGATTTTCACACTTGGCCTCCCCTCCCCACAAGGCTGGGTCCCAGAAATGAGGCCAGCAAACCCACACAAGGTACGGTCTGAAAGGGGGACCAAAGGCCCCTTAGAGTCTGCAGGGTACCCCATGCGGGCTGCGTCCCTCTTCTCAGGTGCAGCCTGCTATGTGAGAGGCCACTGCAAGGCCATGTCCCTGTGCAAGGGAGCTCAGTGCCCCTGGCACGCACCACGGCACAGGTTGGGGCAAAGGGTGAGTCCCTTGACTTCCATGTTACTCCTTAGGATTTTAAAGCGAAAGGAAGTGGGGTTTTGGAGCTCCCAAAGTAGGCAAAAGTGAAGAGCTCCAACCAGAAACACTGGAGCTGTCCAGGGTGGCCCATGACCTCAGGAAGATGGCACAGCATCCTCTTTGGGACAGCCACACTTTGAGACCTATAGACTCCTTTAACAGGTGGCATCTTCCAAGCCATGAGGGTAGACAAGGCAGAACGTGGGTATGAGTTAGAGACTTGGGTCTCTGGTTTTCCATGTGGTTTGATCCACTCCTCATTCCAGCTCTGGTGCTTTATGATTCCATAATTCTGCCCATACCTAGACTGCCCAGACTTGACCTTTCTGGCTCCGTCTAGTTAGAAATCCAGCACTGGGTCTGAGAACATAATCACTTTTGAAAGGAGAGAGACAGACAGAGAGACTGAGAGAGAAGAAAGCAACGTGGTATCTCAGGACACCAAACACAAAGACCCGTAATTCAGTCTGGAATTATAAACATTGCTAACATTCCCAGATTGCTATGGGGGATAGCTGGGACAGACTTTGGGACCTTTCCTGCTGTTTTTGATTCAACAGGTCTGGGATAAAATCCTGGAGCATCTCTAATTGGCATACCTCAAGGAATTGAAAAGCTCACCAAAACACAAAGTTCACTGTATTACACCATTCACTTCTTGCCTAACCTCCGTCCTGCCTCGCCCTGTACTTTCAATGTCCAAATGTAAATAACAAAATTACCACATTGACAGAGTGTCCCATACTGTTCTTCATCTATATTCTGCCATTAATAGGATCCTCACAAAGATATAAAAATATTAAGATGTTGGCCAATGGAGCTACAGGATTTGCATACTCAAAAGTTTTCTAAATCCCAGCAGAATGGGCCTCATTTTTGCTATGAACTAATTTTGGCCTGTAACAATGCAGAGGCGGGTCTTTGCCTCTTAAGATATAAAAGATACAAATGAGCCGACTCAGGCATGAAGCCAAGGATCGGTCTTCAGCCCCATGACAGACAGAACCAGGCAACGGACGCCTCCTCTGCCTGGGAGTATTGGGCCTGGAGTCTGCACTCAACCACTCCCAAGTTTCCTTCTGCAGTTAAATTCCTGACCCAGTGAACCATTTATAACCATTTCTGGGTGAAATTGGTTTTTCCATGACAGTTTTTCTAAAATGGAATTTCAGACCAACATCCTCTAGGAAAGGGACACTGACTAAAAATATGCAAATATTTCTTTCTGCTTTATTTTTCTAAAGTTCTGGAGAGAATGATCCTGTTGCTTACAGGGTCCCTACACTGTGGGCTGCCGGCTGGATGAGCCCAAGAGCACGGGATGACACGTCTGGTGTGCTGGAGCCACCTGGAAACCACTTGGAATGATCCCAAGACAGAGAGGCCAACCCAGGCACACATGGTGACTCAATGGTGTCACTGAGCTTCGGACACTCCTGACCTGATCTGGGTCCTCTTGAGGGTTCACCCTCAGAACCGAGGCGTCTGGGGAAGCAGGGGTTGCCAGCTCAATACAGGAGCTTAGCTGAATTTGAAATTTTGGACAATCAATGAGAAATTTTTTTAGCTGAATATGTCCCCCAAATCCCTTAGGAGCTTAGTTTTATCATCTTCGTTGTCTCTGTTTTCTGAATGAGGAAACCAAGGCCCAGAAAGGTTAAGTGGCA